GGAACAACGAAGGGAAGGACAAAAAAACACACGAATATATATATATATATATATATATATATATATATATATATATATATATTATATATATATATATATATATATATATATATATATACGTGTGTTTTCTTGTCCTTCCCTTCGTTGTTCCTGTTGCAATCTGTTCGTCATGAATTCCACACAGAAAACCTTACGTCAGACACTGAAACCTACACAACGCTGACGAAGGAAGCCTCCCACACGCTCTAGCGGACGGCAAAAAGGCACAAGCACTCACGAGGGACAGTAGTTGCAGACGTATCTGAAGAAGGTCTTCCCGCCGGGCTCGGAGCACTCAGCGAAGCCGCAGCCGACCTGGTGGGAGTTGTACCACGCCATCTGGGTGTAGGCTGACACGGCGCTGGAGTTGTTGCTGTCGCCCCCGTACGTGAAGGTGCGGCGGCCGCTCCACCAGTTGTGCATCACGAAGCTCCTGGAATGGGGGGGGAGGGGTTAGAGCATGGGGGGGATATAGCATGTGCATCACGAAGCTCTTGGAATGGAGGGGGAGGGGTTAGAGCATGGGGGGGGGGGTTAGAGCATGTGCATCATAAAGGTCCTCGAATGAGGGGGGGGGTTAGACAACTGGCAATGGGCTCTCTGGGTTATCATCCACCTGTGATGTTCACTTTTCGTTCATGGAGGCAAAAAAGAGACTAAGCCTAGTGCTCTTCCTTCTCATTCGTATAATAACCGTCATCCTCATACTCATCGTTAATATCCTCATTTTCTCCTTCCTCTTTCCATCATTATCATTATCCTTATAGTTATCATTATCCTTATAGTTATAATTATCATTACTATTATTATCCCCATCATTATTACTTTCATCCTTATTATTCCTCCCTCTCCTCCTCCTCCTCTATCCTCCCCACTCCCCTCCCCTACCCTCCTCCCCTCCTCCCCCGACCCCCAGGCCTCCTCCAGACAAGTCCCCACCAGTGGCGCTTCCTGGCCGACACCATGACGTTCTGACCGCAGGCGCCGTAGCGGGACGTCCACCTCACACTCGGATGGTCAGCCTCCGAGTCCGACCCGCACTGCTCCGCCCAAGCCTGTGCTTGCTCCGCCGCCGTGTCGTACCAAGCCTGGAATCGCGGCAACAGAGAAAAAAAGATGTTGAAGTATCTAGGAGCTTTCGTAGTCGATTCGCTGTTCTGTCTTTGTTTCTCTTTCTTTTCTTTTCTTTGTTTCTCTCTCTTTCTTTCTTTGTTTCTCTCTCTTTCTCTTTCTCTCTCTTTCTCTGATCTCTTTCTCTCTCTCTCTCTCTCTCTCTCTCTCTCTCTCTCTCTCTCTCTCTCTCTCTCTCTCTCTCTCTCTCTCTCTCTCTCTCTCTCTCTCTCTCTCTCTCTCTCTCTCTTTTCTCTCTTTCTTTCTTTCTTTCTTTCTCTTTCTCTTTCTCTCTCTCTCTCTCTCTCTCTTCTTCTTTCTCTCTCCTCTCTCTCACTCTCTCACTCTCAGTCAGTCACTCACTCTGTCTCTCACATCCTCACACACTTCCTCACACATTCTCTAGATTTCTTTCTCCCTTTAATATTTTGTTTATATATTTCTACATTAATGTTTTTCACATAAATATGACCAAAATAACTCACCCTCGCTCCCTTTACAATCACCCTCGCTCCCTTTACACTCGCCCTCGCTCCCTTTACACTCACCATCGCTCTCTTTACACTCACCATCGCTTCCTTTACACTCACCATCGCTAACATATCGGCGGCCGTCGGAGTGACTTTGGCGCGCAGGATATTGTGAAGGCCGACGATATGCTTCTGCACTTTCGGCTGCTGGGTGTCGACTGACCTGTACTGGATCCCCGCTGGCCATCCGGGTCCTGGAGGGAGAGAAAAAAGGGGAAAAAAAGCGCGGTTAAATCTCTCTCGTTTGAAAAGTCGGAGAGTGGAAGGGGGTTTATGCGCTACTGTTTGAGGAGGTTGTTACTGTGATGGACCGTTTTGGTAGCGATTCGATGTTATATTAATACCTTGAGTGGTTATTGCGTGGATGGATAAGTAAATAAATAACAAAATTATTTTTAAAAAATTGCCATAGGGTCGGTAATAACAGCGATACGATGGCGCACCATGATCAAAAGGAACAACTGGGTCACTTCTTAAATTATCAAATTATCATGTTCGCACACAGACGCTTAGACTGGGTGTCCTCATACATGTATATATGTATGTATTCATATGGATGCGTATATGTATGTATGTATGTATATGCATTTATGTATGTATATGTATGTATGTACACGCACACACACACACACACACACACACACACACACACACACACACACACACACACACACACACACACACACACACACCACACACACACACATATATACATATATTATATATATATATATATATATATATATATATATATATATATATATATATATATATATATATGTGTGTGTGTGTGTGTGTGTGGTGTGTGTGTGTGTGTGTGTGTGTGTGTGTAGATATATCTTATATATAATGATAATTGGATGAGTACGTGGATAATGAGAAGGAAACAAACAAACAAAAAAGGTAATTATTTTGATAATGATAATAGAAGTAATAATAGCAATTTGAAATAGTCCAACCATTAAACTAATGAAAAACGAATTGATTAAAGCGATAATGACAATAGCAGCGACACACAAATAACAAAAGGAAACAGGAAGGGAAGAAAGAGAAAGAAAACGAAAACGAACAGAAAACGAAGGACGAAACAAAGATGAAAATAAGAGGAACAGAGAAGTAACAATCGCAATAATAACGGATATGACAAAATAGGAAAAAAGAAAAAAGAAAAAAAATAGTGATAAACAAAAATGATATAAAGCAGGCACCCACAATAATAACAGTTCATAATAATAATAACAATAATGATAATAATAATAATAAAAACAGTAATTACAACAGCAATAATAATGATAATGATAATAATAATATATAATAATAACATAACAATTATATTAATAATAATAACAATAACAATAATGAAAACAATAATGATTACGATGAAGAGGATAATGATAATAATGAAAGTGATAATCATCATCATCATCACGAATAATAATGATGATGATAATGATAACAACCACAATACTGGCAAAAGTAGTATAGTAGTAGTAATAACAATAACAGTAACAACAACAACAACAGTAATAATAATAATAATAATAATAATAATAATAATAATAATAATAATAATAATAATAATAATAAATAATGATAATAACAATTATAATAACAACTATAACAATAACAACAACAATACCTACAACAATAATGACAATACCCGCATCGACGACAACAACAACCCCGCCCACTCGCAAACCCAGACGCCTCAAAGACCAACCATTGCACAGCGCACAGAGCAACAGGTGAATCAACACGTGACCAGAGCCTCGTCAACGTCCCATGCAACTTCACACTCTTGCAAGCTGGGGCGAGTGACGATGGATCATGCAACATCAATGCAACAGACAGGAACTGGAACGGGGGCAAAGAACTCGGGTATCTTTTTTTTTGTGTTCAAAGGAGGTGGTCTGTATGTGTGTATAAAGGAGGGAATGCTTTGGAATGGAAGCAAAAGTTATTAATTTAATATCGAAGCGAGATTAAAAATTATCAGAATTGATTAGACTGAAAGCTACAGAAAGCTATGACGCAGACACACACACACCCTCCACACACTCACACATACATACATACATACATACACACATACATACACACACTTACACCTTACACCTATATAGACCTATGCACACATCACCCCGCCCCCTTCTCGCCCTCCTCCCTTTTCCCTTTCCCTTAAGTCCACTCTTTGAAACCTCTACCATCTCCTCTTCCTCTTCTAATTTCTTATTCTTCTCTATCTTTACCTCCTCCATTCTTCATCTTATGCCTTTTTCTCTCTTCTTCTTCTTTCTCTGTTGCTTTTCCCTTCTCCTCTCCCCCCCCCCACATATACGCCCCCATCCTCCTCCCTCCTCCTTCTTCCTCCTCTTCCTTCTTCCATTCTCCTCCTTTTCCTTCTCCTCCCATTCTTCCCCTTCCTTCCTCCTCCTCATCCTTTTTCTTTTCCTTCTCTTCTTTTTCCTCCTCCTCCTCCTTCTCCTCTTTCTCTGACACCTCCTTTTACCCCATCCTTCTTCTTTTCCCAAAACCACCTCCAATCATAAGGTTCTTCAAGATGTTTCAGTTTTTGATCAAGATTTTTACTAAATTTTTATTTATTTAATATTTTTTTTACTAAATTGCATAGGGACACAATATCAGTTATTAAGATCAAATAAAGCTGTTTCGTATTAAGTATTATCATCACCCCTCCCATTCTTCTCCCCACCTCCCCTACCATCCCCCCCCCTTCCCTCTGTATCTCCCACCTCCCACCTCCTACTTTTCCCCTCACCTCCCCCCACCCACCTCCCCATTCCTTCCACCTCCCCCTCCCCCTTTCCACTATTCCCTCCTCCTCCCATCACCTCCATCTGTTTAGTATCACTATTACCAGTGCTCCTCCATTCTTCTCCACCTCCCCATTCTCTCCTATCACCCCCTCCACCTACCCCCCACCAACACCCTACCCCTCTCATTCTCCCTCACTTTACTCTACCTCCCCATTCTCCTCCCACTCCCATCTATCCCCACTGCTACGACTCTTTCCCACCCACCTTACCCTCCACTTTCTACTTCCCCTCTCCCCCACCTCCCCTTCCCTCCCTCTTCCCACTATCACCCCTAACACTCTTATCCCCACCTCCCCCAACCCCACCCACCTCCACATTCCCTCCACCCCCCACTACCCCGCACCTTACTCTTCCCGTCACCTCCCCCCCTACCCCCACCTACTCCCCATTCCCTCCTCCCCCTAACCATTCCCCTTCCCTTCCTATTCCCCCTCATTCCCCCCTTCCACCCCCTCCCTCACCCCTCCTCATTCCCTTCTCCTCC